CAGAAAGACATAAAGGCAACGTGTTGTGATGTTCTAATTGTTGTCTGGATGTCTATTACTTGTTAATTTCAGATAGGTACTATCAGATAAGTAATAGGAGTGTATAGAATGTAGGTGATAAAATGACGTAGGTCAGAATAGTAATTTCAGGGTGGCGATCGATCTTATACATGCTTGTCATATCAGTCAGAGGTACACATGAATGTATTAAATGCCACGTCATGTTACCAACATGACTAATTTTTGTCAACTTTGTTGAAAACCATTCGGTAGTATTTTTCTATCTACCCATCCAACGACCGATTCATTCATCCATCTTTTATTCCCATCCATCCTATTTTCCATCCTTCCGATCTATCCATCGTCAATCTAGTACAGTAAACTACGGTTATACCGAACTCAAACGGACCACTGTTTTAGTTCGTTACAACGGTAGTTCGTTATAAGCATTTCGACTAAAATATGCAGCAAGTGGCTTGGACCATCTGTCAGTTCGTCTTAAACATAGTTTACTGTATTGTATGTGGTATATGCTCCAGAAGTACCCTACAGCACAGTGTAAGGAAATAGAGTGAGTGAATGATTGAGCGAAATAGCATTGTAACAATGTTTCTGAAGAAATATCCACTATCATATTGGGTAGTGTCACAAAGCAGTGGGTTTTATCTATGAATATACAAGTACAGGTTAATACATTATTTGAGAATAATAGTAGAGCATTATAGGTAATATTAATTCATTAGAAAAACATTCATATCATATCATATCAAAGTCGTTGCAAAGTGAGTGAGTGAGTGAGTTTAGCATTATTGCAGCAATATCACGGCTGGGGACACCAGAAATGGGCTTCACACATTGTACCCATATGGGGAATGGGTGTGACGAGCGAACGCTTTATCCACTAGGCTACCCCACCGCCCCTGCTCGTGCTAGACCCCTAAACGCCGCGCGGACCCTCCGATCAACACCCACCCGTCCTAAATTCCAGTCAAGTCAATACTGTGTTTGCTTGAAAGTAATGAAGCCATATCAGGCGTCAAGCAGTTCCGATAAGATACGAGGTGAGTGCAAGGAGAGTGTGATAAAGTGCCAAAATAACTGTGAAGATTTCTCGTCATCAAACATAGTTGACGGCACAATGTTTAAACAATACCGATAATAACTAGGCTGTGTTGAACACCACTCAGGCAATACACACCGGGGTGGCATGTGGGGGCTCGGGACGGGGACGCGCACGGAATGCGGTTATTGAAGATTAGGTTCTGAAATTGTGGATTATCTGGCGATTTCGTCTTGATGGGAAAGCTGAATTTATGTACATATTTTGGCATGTTAAATGCTCGGAATACCCTCGTTGATGTGTTTAAAGGTGTGATGGATGACGAAAAGATAAAATAATATATGAGTGCGAGAATTCTGTTGGGGCATCGGTAGTCTTATCTGTCTGTTGTTTTGAATCTATCCTAAAATCTCAAGTGATATTATCTCGAAAAATTCCCAATTAATGTAGATTGTTTACGTTTCATAGTAATTTTAGTATTTAAGCATGATTATTTATATTGTGAACTGAGTCAAGATTTTGTATTACCGGGCATTGCTGTGTGTGACTTATGTGATATATTTGTTTGTTTTCGCATGTATTAATATACTAACTGGATGCAGTGTGCGAAATAGTTTCCAAATTTTGTTAGCCAGTCGGGCTAGCTATGCCTTAAGGTTACTAGCTCGCAAAATAATTCACTAGCCCGAAATTTGAATGGAGAAACTGACCAAAAGAGTACAAGAATAGATGAAAATAAGATATTGTCGGCATGACCCGGGTTTCATCATTAAGCCGCTAGTACGATGAACATTTTATCAGGCCATGACCTTGCATGATTTAAAAGTTTATAATAACTAAACAAGTCGGAGAAAGCGATATATTTACAAAATTACCCCATGAAAATTCACTAGCCAGTTGGACCAGTGACTGTGGAAACGTACTGGCCCGACTGGATTTGTACTAGCCACGGGCTAGCGGGCCAGTGGCTATTTCGCACACTGACTGCCGGGATGATAGGGTTTCCCAACAATTGATCCTGGACCAGACAAACCAGTGATTGTATTTATGAGTATCGATCCACATTGAAACATACTCCCAGATTACTTCCAGCAAATAACTGCTAAACAGCTGGTGCGGGTTAGTAACACTCACTCGCTCACTCACTCACTCACTTACTCACATCGCTAATCACCGACCATTGCCTGACCATCCGATCCCTTTACATGTAGTCGCTTCGATCCCCACATTGGTGCTGGTGACAAGTTCTAAATCGGGTTATTGTGTCTCTTATTACAGAGTTCTCGAAATGATCCACTTTGGATGAGATAAACCAGTGGAACAGCTATGCAAGCCAGGTTAGACGCTGCCACCAACAAACCGACCTCCACATCCTGGCTCATACGACAATAGTGAGTGAGTTTACCCCCAACTCCCCATAGTGTTGCAGTTATTAATCCCCGGAATCACTTCCTAACGTGTGAGTGTGTGTAACTAAACTAGAAAATATTAATGCAAGAACATTGTTTTTTGTAAAAGGATGGATGGATTTTGCAGTTTTGCAATTCGCGTTTAATGTTAGCATAATTTTGTAGAAAATATATGACAAATGAATTAGCAATGTTACAAGTTATTCGTATCACTACAGACATTTAAAATGAATATTTTTTGTAGTTTTCTTGAAAAAGGTGCACATAATTGAATTCGTCTTTTAGATCTGATTATGTAAGAACAAGGAGGTCACTTTTCGTATTGCTTCCAAACCTATAAATAACAGCATTATGTTATCATAGGAAATATTAACATGTTCTCTGTTGACAACTTCCCATAATTGTCAAAGAAATATAAACAATTATACTCAGAATTTGCATTATTCGATATAGAAAGCTTCAGTATTGATATGGAGCTATATGCAGCATAAACAAACGATAGTGTTGTGATAAAATGGTGTATATTGATCGTAAAAGAGAACAGCCATGGAAACTAATTAGCTGGGGTCAATCGACTAAATTACATACTCCAAACAAAACCCTAGCAATCCAAATTCCCAGTCAGTGGTTATCACCACCTGTCGAATCACACCGTAGCTTGTACATAACACTCATCAACCCGATGTGCAATAGACAAGTGTATGGTGTCGGTCAGTCGCTGTCCCTGGTCACTGTCCATATTGTGAGTTGACAAAGAAGTATTTCATCCCTGGATTTACGGACTAATTGACCCCGGGTAGTTCATTTCGTGGCCTCGTGTTATATAAATTGGACTACAAATTAGTTTACAGGTGTGTATTGATGGCGGTCTCTTTGAAGCTGATGTTGTCAATTTCAGGTGTGAATTTCAAAAAATGGTGGTGATTTCAGATAAAAGTGAGCTCACGGGTTATTCAATTTTGTCAAATGTAGCAGGTATTAGAGGATTTGAATGAATATTACAATGATATAATACAAATCCCACACGGTGAAAATCAACAGAAGTGCGACTCTACGAGCTTAAACACAATACCCAGACACTCGTGTTAAAGGAGATGTTTATTTACAATATGATGCTGGCTTCACAGAATTACCTGAAAATATTTACACACCGCCGAGCGGTGAGATGTAAGGCATGAGGTTAGGGCTGTGTATTAGCAAATATATTGTATTTGCAGTATAATGCGATTCAGGTACCCGTATTGTGATACATTGGGAGCTAAAGTGTTAAACAGTGAGTACCACTGATTGTACATGCAGATCCTAACCTCTACACTCTAAGACCCTAAAAATAAAGGTTATGATTTCAATAGCAGTGGACAGTTAAAGGTTGAATTTCTCTATTTGTACAGCTCAGTGTATGTAAATTATGCCGATTTTTGGTAATTAATTACGAAGGGAAACATCAGTTGTGAATGAAGGTCTGTGTAGATTTGATCTTAAACCATAGCGATAATCAGAAAACTATATACCGGTTCTCAGAAAATAAGAATATCGCAAAATGTATAGTTTGAAAAACATATCGCGGTATACCGTCATATCGGTAACACCGTGTAGTTATACATAAGGTTAAATTTTACTTTAAGTCACAAATTGATTCAACTTTTATTTTTACTAAACTATTTCTAAACTATATTTTACATATTTTAATAGTATTGAAACATTGCACCCCGCGCTCTATTTGCATGCACGTGATTTACACGTCTCATGTTTGAATGAAATATACATAGAAATACACAATCTACAACGACAAACCTTTGTAGAAGGCAGAAGAACGCTTGTGAGCAGTAGACGATGAATCACTATGAAATATACCGTTTTACAACAGCACCCTTGATTATCTATCGTACTATACATCTATTGCGATAATCATAGGTGAAATTGCGATGATGGATAACGAGGATCACAGAGTGTAATGAACTGACTGACTGAGTTTAGTATACGATGAAATTCCAGCAATATCACAGCGGGGACACCAGAAATGGGCTTAACACACTGTGATACACCTGGGATCGGCGTGCGAGCCAACGCTTTAACCACTAGGCTACCCCACCGCCCCCTACTACTACTAATGTATTGCTATTATATACTTGGAGTTTTCCAGTACACCAACCTCTTTGTATCTGATGCCGAGGTTAGTCTGATAAATTAAATTTAATGAATTATTGAATTCAGCGTGAAAAACATAAAATTGTCGATTTCAGCTAACTGATAGGCTATGGGAGTAAGCTTTCAAAAGATTTTGATTAAAATGTGATTTCGTTTATGTTATATCTCTGATTATGGTAATGATTTTGTGATTATATCTGCTGCTGTGTCGGGCAATCGTTTCAGTCGCACATTGTATTCAGGTATTTTAGAGGACAGCGAGCCGCTATTGGAGGGGCCATTTGCAGCTGAGAGAGATGGTGACAGGTTGGTGTCGGCCATCATCAGATCACATCCTCGTAGCCACAGAAAACAGCTGTTCGTTGGTTCGACTGCTTGGCTTCCTAGACGGGGATCGTGATCTGCAACAATATTAGAATTTTAAAATACGTCATTACAATCGTATGTAGAAAAATATTGGACTTTCATTTGCATCTGTTTACTTTCAAACGCCTCCCTCCACTCCCCCTCCCCATATCAATGTCTTTAAACTGATGTACAAACGGATGATGATTGATAAGCTCCCAAGTTCTCCTCCTTCTTTGCAGGTGGACCAGAATTCGCTACATAATAGAAATTAGTGAGTACGTTTTACGCCGCTTTTAGCAATATTCCAGCGATATCACCAGAAATGGGTTTCACACAATGTACCCATGTGTGGAATAGAACCCGGGTCTTCGGCGTGACGAGCGAACGCTTTAACCACTAGGCTACCCCGCCGCCCCTACACAATATGAATGATATGTTCTGTAATAGCTACCAGATATAACAGTTTAACAATAGCGATATGAAAAATGGAACGTTCTTAATTTTTTTGAGTAGTATATAATGCCTTGGCCCACATGTTTAGAAATGTACGCATTGGCCTAATATTTCATTTATTGTGGCAATAATGTTTATTTTGTGGAGGTACGATTATGGATTATATCTGTATAAGATAACATTACCGTCTTGTTAACTCCCTAAGCTTATACGATTGTAGTACAGGAACACTGGCAAGTTTTGTAAATTATCACTGCCTATGAGCGAAGTCATGTAGTCACTGGTGACACTTAGCCGGTGAGTCGGTGACACGAATAATAATATGAGACGAATCTGTTTTCGAACTCAAGGGCAACGGCTCCTGACACTACTAGGGGAAATAACTCTCCCACAACTTCCCCTTTCCCCGATATATATGTGTAAACGTGAGGAATTTACCGACGTACATACCTTGGATATTTTCATCTCGATTTCACTGCCCCCGACACCGCTATCACTGCCTAGGGTATCTCTCGAGCTCCACCCGAAATCGTCTTTGTAAAATACATCAGTTACCTAAATCAGAAAATTGAATATTTAATCAAGTTGCGTGTTCAATTTGTAAACAGAACGAATAAAGGAAATAATTTCAGTAGCATCTCTACCATGAATCTCAAACCATAAATATCTGCGAAAAAGCTAACTAAATTGGGGCTTTTCTCGTACCTGTCTGGCAATTATTTCCGCCAGATTGTTAACTTCACGTTTTACCCGAAGCTTGGCTTAGTAAAGGGCATGGTTTGTCTGGTGGATTTTATCTCCCATAACTGGGAGCCCCCGAACACCCCTGGAGACACCCGTGGATGGGTAATTGTACAAAATAAACGATAAGAGGGATCAAAGAGTTGTTGTTTTTATCTTCAGTTGGTTTTAGGATTTACATAAAACTTGATGCTCTCTTCCATAGGGTTCAGAAATAAATTCACTTGCACAAACGAGTTTATTATTTGTTTCTTATGGCGTTTTACCTGCAACAGTCCGAGTGAGTGAGTGGGTTGGAGTTGGAGTAGTTTTTCAGTTATATCACGGCGTGACGCGACCAGCTTCTTATTAGAAGTGAGTGAGTGAGTAAGTTTAGGTTTACGCATGATTTCAGCAACGTCACGACGAGAGACAACGGAAAAGGGGGTCACTCATTGTCTTGTTTGAGGATATTGCCGATGTGACTTTAAATCTTAACTTAATCTTGTTTGAGGAAAGCCTAAAGTGCTGCAGGTCTTGGAAGGTTTCCACTTTGGTGAAAACAACGAGCATGGTTATGACGCTTACAATGAGTGAGTGAATGAGTTAGTTTTACGTCGCTTCTAGCAATATTCCAGCAATATCACGGCAGGGGACACCAGAAATGGGCTTCACACATAGTACCCATGTGGGGAATCGAACCCGGGTCTTCGGCGTGACGAGTGAACGCTTTAACCACTAGGCTACCCAAGCACCCCTTATGGCGCTGACAAACCTGAGAACATCGAGATTCGGGATTCGATCCCATGCCCATACTTATGTTATAACAGTCTGAGGTGCCCGTGTTGCTAAACATATTCCGTCATGTTGATTAACACCATTAAACAACATGTTGAATTGTATAAGTAAATTGTCTCTGTGGAGACTTCAGAAAAGTTTGCTCCAAGACGAATTTAATATTTGTCACAAGCGGACGAGGTAGATCTTGCTCATGCTATCGACCACTGGTTCGTTCGATGTATATTCGAGTACAGAATTGCGATATTAGTGTGAATAGTGCTATTTTTCATCAATGATGCACACATCTTTTGATACTCACGCATTTGTGTCTTTGTTTTCGGTTGGCCTTGACCGACCTCACGACCTGATTGTGACGCTGCATAATGTCAAGGACGCTGACCTCTTGATTAGAGTGAAGGTCATTGACAGGCTTCCAGCTGTTTACGTCAGCTTCTATCGCCTGCAAATATTTGCATCAATTTTCTTGTTAAGACAAGTCATTATAATAGTTGTGATTTAGACTTCAGTTCCAAAGCGAAGTTAAAATGCTAAAAGAAATTAAATTTAAAAATCCAAACAACTCTCTTCAAACATCCACAGTAACTATGATCGAATATTATGACCTACAAAAATTGGTTCATATGATCGTTCGAGATAACGGCATCTACAATAACTGGCTCGGATGTTTTGCAAGCGAGAAAATATCAAAGAAATTATCAAGAAAAGAAATATACTTCCGAAAGCATTGGGAAAGTGTACACATTTATGTGTAATAATTATGTGTAACATGTATTCATCTTGAACACTTTTTATTTAAAAACAATTAATCTTTAATAAATAACATTTTGAACAAAATAACACATTTTGTGAAAGAACTATCTATATATATATATATGCACTATAGCTCCTTTCTTGCATACGATCCTTTACCCCTACCCTCGCCAATCTCATCACACCATCAACCCAAAAAACGGAGACCTTATCGAATTCATCTGCGTAAAAATTCCTTTCGATAATCTGATACAACATACCTTTTTATGATGACGACATGAATTCATTTCCTTATTATCATCATCATCATTTGAGTTCATTTTCAGGTCACGTGAAGACCTTATGACGTCATTGTATCTATTTTGTCTGGAGGCCGTACTTGTGTACACTGATGGTCCGTCAGATAAATCAGAAAGGTATGATATGTTATTAGCAACATATTTCCCCTTATCAGATGTGGTTTTGTTGTACATTTCAGGGGCTATCGTGATCTCGTCGAAGTCCCGTAAACCAAGATGTCCCGGTCTGGTTATCTTAACCTGTTTTTTTCGTTTGTCCAAATATTTAATAAGACACACGATCGTCATGATTGACAATGACAACAGCACCGTGACACAAACCAGTACGGTAACAATCTTCAAATTCTTGTATCGGTCGGAAACTCCCTCATCCGTTACGTATAATTCCTGAATTTGAACATTGAGGTGAGCTTTTGCTTGTAACTGAGGCGTGCCAAAATCAGACACAAGGATCCACAGTGTGTACATGCCTATATCAAGCATGTCAATTTCACGAGTGGTTGAAATATGCCCAGTAGAAGTGTCAATATCAAAGAGATCTGACTCATTTTGTGATATTAAAGAGTAAAGTAACTTGCCGTTTTCACTACTGTCTATGTCATAAGCTTGCACCACAGCGATGTCTGTTCTTGGCGCTGTTCTGTGTCCAATGACAACAGTGTCGTTATTCTCTATAGGAAATACAATAACAGGACTGTTGTCATTTTCATCGATGAGTGAAATCGACACGAAAGCTGTCGTGTTCATAACAGGGTGTCCGTGATCTGTTGCTACAATTCCGAATTCGTATGTGCTGATTCGCTCGTAGTCCAACTTTTCAGAAATAGTTACACATCCGGTTGACGTCACGAAGAAAGGTAAGACATCATGTCTGCCTTCCGTCAGAGCTGTGTAGGAGACATTGCCGTTCTCCCCTGAATCAACGTCTTTTGCTAATACACACCCAAGTACATATTTCACCGGTTCGTTTTCAAGAATGCGGAAAGAATATAGGGATTTTTCAAACAGCGGGGCGTTGTCATTTTTGTCCGTAACGTTGACGATTACTGTTGTAGTAGCAGTTAATGGATTCTCTCCCATATCGACCGCCGACACGTTCAAAACTATTTGGGACGAAATTTCATAATCCAGACGTGAATTTGATAGAATGTGACCCGTGTTATTGATACTGAACTTGAATTGTTTGTTAACGTCACTGACGAGGTCATACGTCACGCGACCGTTGATCCCGACGTCATTGTCCAGCGCTGAAACCTTGCCTATATACACGGGCAGTGTGGAATTTTCTTGTACAACAAACCGATATAGTTCACTTTCAAATACAGGTTGACTGTCATTTTCATCTTCAACTACAACTGTAAACGACGATGTTGATTCTAAAGGTGGATTTCCCAAGTCATGACAGCTGATAACTAGATCGTGCTTTGAATTCAGTTCTCGGTTCAATGGTCTTCGTAAAAATACTTTATATTCATTCTGTTGAAGTTTTTCAAGTTGAAAGAAGTTATTTTCCATTGAACAGATTGTTTCACCGTTGAATCCAGAATCTTTATCTTCAACATTCACAAGAGCGACAACACGACCAAATGGAGAAGACTCTTGAAGCGAAGCAACACCATTTCGACTAAAGAGCAGCTGTGTGTTTATTGTCGGTGCATCATTCTGAGTATCCGTAATGAAGACGACGATATTAGCAAATGCTGAGAGTACAGGAAATCCAGAATCGGAAGCTTGCACTTTTATATCAAATCGTTTCCCACCTTCCGATCGTAAAGATGTCAGAACACGCACTCCACCAGATAAAGACCCTATTTGAAAATGCTGTTTCACATCTGGTGAATTGTCTCTTGCAAGTGAATACACAACCCTGCTGTTTAAACCCTCATCTACATCTTCAGCTGTAACTTGCATAATTGTAGTGTTTGTATTTATAGATTCGGGTATCCTTGTTTCGTATGACGTTTGTTGAAACACCGGAGGGTTGTCATTTGCGTCGCTTACATTAATACGCACGGACAGAGTACTATTCCTTGTCGTACTCCCACCATCAGTGGCTGAAACTGATGTTGTATAACTTCGTTTTGTTTCTCTGTCAAGATCAGATACCAGTACTAACCAGGGTGTATATCCTTTAACCACTAGGTCAAATGGAATATATGTTGGAGACAGGGTGTAAGAAATTAAATGGTTATTAGACGATCCGTCCTTATCCACTGCAAGAGGGAGCGCTACTGATGACCCAATTTTCGCATTTTCCGTAAAACTCGTATGAAAACTTTCAGCTTCAAACTCAGGGGTATTATCATTAATGTCAATGACTTTAATATTGACATGCGACTTCATGAAAAACGCACTCGTTAAAGACTGCACGGCTATATCCAATTTCAAAACGCACTCTTGTACATAGCTGCACATTTCTTCTCTGTCAATAGAATCTATTGCAGATAGGTCACTAGAAATATCGTCAATTTCGAATTTCCTGTCCAGTTTGTCTGATCGAGAAACTATAGTGTATCTTAGTGAACTGGTGTCTTCTGTCTTCAGTATCCTGGATATGTCTGTGAGGTTCGCCACAGTTCCCAACAATACTGGAGGAGCTGCTTCTTCCACCAGAGTTAAATGTGAATCAGCTGAAATATGGGCTACAGCTATGATAAGGAAGAAGACCTCCCTGTCCATGGTACTTCGTTGGCCTTGAGTACACGTTGATCTGGAACATAATAAACGAACCTGTCGTTATCAATTTCTTCAACAAGCTAGGAAATTCACTGTTATAGGCTCAAGTCATACGTGAATATAACAAACACTATTTCACTTCAGATGCACTATTTATAACATCTTGTTTCTCATCCACAATGCTATATTGCCAGCTGTTAGTATATGGCTAAATGAAGTAATTATGTTTGCAAACATCGATCTTCACTGATCCATACATAGAGTTTTCACAGCTATTTATTCCTTTACATGAAATGGAATTTGTTTTTGAGGATAGTCAAGACTGTGCGTTCTTTTGCACAGACGTTCTGTATTTAACGGAACAAATGCTAACTCAAACTTAAGGCTAGCAATATATTATAAACATTGCCCATCGTTAATGTGTGTCTGTGTACTGATAGGTCATACTTGAAAAGAGGTGGGTCAGTTTGAGAACCTCGTACTAAATTGCTTGGCGAAAGAAAGCACATTGGTGGCGATAAATGAACCAAGCCCTGAAAAAATTACTGTTTATACTTTCTTTTGCCCTGGTGTTCCATGGTGTGTGAGGGAAGATTGAGCATGGCCATCTTAGGTTGTCCTGGGAAACATGTGTTCATGCCATCATCTACTGATGCAGTTTCCAGGCTCTATTCCCCATAGTGACATGGATAAATATTATTGTCAGAATTAAAATACCTCAATACAATTTTAAAATGTGAAACAGTTTGTCTGAAGACATGCATTTTAAGTCTAACATTTTCATCGATTCCATGTACCTTTTGCACCCAAAGGCTTAAATTTGATAGCCAAATATTCATGTAGTAAGCAACACCATTAGTCTGTAAGCATGGAATACAAAACGACCAAATTAAAGGATCAAATGCTACCATATGTCGCATATTTTAGACTGCACGCACGGATTCTTTCACAGAAGAGCATTTGAAGCTGCAGTGGGCATCTATACATCCAGCTTATCAACACAAATGAGCTATCCGTTTTGAGGCGGTCATGTTTCGCTGGACAATCGCATGGGCGTTATAAAATAGTCGGTATCTTTCATGAAATCTCGGCCCTTAATCCCCAGCTTTGGCGCCAGTAACAAACAGCTGATGTGCATTTCAGTAGAAACTTTTATACGAAATTTATCGTAGTTTTATTTCAGTTTCAAAACGGTTCCTACTCTCCAGCTATTTAAAAAGTGGGAAGGATTTAAAAGAAATGAATTGGGAGTCTCAGACGGTAGCAATCAACGCGGCGACCTGATATTTTCTTCAAAGATGAGGGTAATCTCGACACGCCTCCACTTCTTACTGCTGAAAAATGACTCGGGTGTATGTTCACATTTTCAGTACATCAAAGTAACGGGTGTACCCGTGCTTTTCATTCACGGGTACTGACTTGAAGTTTGATAGAGCTTAAACACTTATAATTAATGCGACTTTGACATTGATGAAGCTTCTACACAAAGAAATGTGGTTCCCGATGTCATACGTAATTATCGATTAAAGACCGATATGTGTGTTCTAACAATGAATCTCAAATATCAGTCAGTTTGGAAACATCAAAACAAGTATTGATATCTTGATGCTAATGAACCTCCCATATCTACTTTGAAACCTCGTTATACCACACAACCCCTCCTTCAAAGAAACCTTATGGTAAAAATGACATCACATTCGTTGATCTGGGATTAGTATTATTCGGACAATTGTAATGGAATCGGAACCTTCCGGATTACCGGGGTGACGCTTTATACCATATATACTCTATATGTACAGCAATAACTACACTCACATAAAATAAAAATAATCTCTTATAATGATAAAAATAATATGAACATTGAAATCAAGAACCATGATACTCCCTGTCGTTAAACAATAGATTATGTCATAAATATTCCGTTCATCATGATAATAACAACAACCTATTATGTTTCTATGTATTCACATGATAGATCTTAAACAAAAAACATGTTTTAGGAATATTGCAACGGATTTAAGAGGATTTATTTTTTAAAGTTTAACAGGTTTGTCATTGTATACATATTTTTGATTTGACTTCATTCATAAATTGGAATACTTTGGACAAGCGAACAAGACACGAAATCCATCCTCGATGCTGTAATAATAACAATTTGTACAAATGATATTAACATTTTCAACATTTTTACGTTCCTTGCAATATATACTTTAAAATCGTGTAGAGATATTCTAAATTTGCATAATACTCGTCATCCTAGTCAATAGTTCCCAGTAAAATTTGCTTCATTCTGAAAACATGTATGTGTGTAATACCATCTGGAACACGACTGTCACCTGAAGAAGAAACCAAATACAAGACACACTGAGATACGCACCTAAATCAAATAGATGAACTGCATCGTTCATGCATGTCAGTACAATCTAATATTGACACAGTCAGATCGGTATCTCGTGTGAACTTCTCATTTAATACCGCCTTACGTAGCCTTGAATAACACCCTTCTTCCCGATGAAGCCGGTAACCCTAGAAGTTCATTTAACCAGGTAATTCGTTGATGAAACGGATAGCCATCACTAAAGGAAGCCTTAGCACTCATTGACAAAATCTCACGACTGCTTGCTTAATAAGAGGGGTGGTATTTATCTAGATGGGTTTCATTTGTTACCAAATTAAGGTAGATTAGCATCTTGGTGTCAGTCAGCTAAACTGCGGGATCTACAAGACAGTTGTTCTGTAAGGCTGGGTAATGAATTGTACTGCCTCTGACACGTTGTTTCATCCAGACAGACTTCGCCTGAGGATATGGTATGATATAACGGCTTTGTTGATTTGGCCAACATGGTTGTGTCTAAGTATGCCAATTTGAAGGCTTCTTGGTTTCATTTGTGACCAGAGTGCTTCATTTATTGTGTACAGAGTACTGGGATATGTTCAGGTGGGAGGGATCAGACACGTGTTTGTATCATAACAGGTATTGTTTTGCTGGATCATACCAGGTTGCATTATGGAATGGACACAACAAACAGACTGCATCGACGATGTGTTGTGCCAGTCGTTCGAGAAATTGTTTGTAATTGACAGTTCAACACTTTAAAGACAGTCACAGTAGGTACTTAAGAGCACACAGACACACGCTTGCATGCGCACACACACACACACAGACACACAGACAAACACGCACGCACGCAAACATACATACATACGTCCGTCCGTCCGTCCGTCCGCCCATGCATGCATGCATGCATGCACATACACCACATACATACATACATACATACATACATACATACATACATACATACATACATACATACATACATACATACATACATACATACATACATACATACATACATACATACATACATACATACATACATACATACATACATACATACACAGAGACACACACAGACGTGTACATACATATATACATACATACATACATACATACACACATACTGACGCACTGACTGACTGACTGAGGTTTAGTTTTACGCCGCTTTTAGCAATATTCCAGCAATATCACGGCGGGGACACCAGAAATGGGCTTAACACATTGTGCCCATGTGTGGAATCGAACCCGTGTCTTCGGCGTGACGAGCCAACGCTTTAACCATGGGCTACCCCACCGCCCTACACACACACACATACATACATACATACATACATACATACATACATACATACATACATACATGTTGCTACGTGTACATACATACATACAAGCACATACATACACGTGTACATACACATACATACATACATACATACATACACATACACACATACAGACACACATACAGACGTGTACATACATACACATATACATACATACATACATACATACATACATACGCATACACACATACATACACACACATACATACATACATACATACATACATACATACATACATACATACATACATACATACATACATACATACATACATACATACATACATACATACATACATACATACATACATACATACATGCATGCAGGCAGGCAGGCAGGCAGACATGTTTTGAGCAGATAGTCATGAGTAAACCGACTGTGGCCAATACGACATCGTCGCAAAATTACCTCATCACGTCTTGACTGACAACCCAAGTAGGTATAACCAATTGTTGGCTTCAGTTCATGAAGTTTATTTCTTCCTACTTGGGTGTCCCACCTGTTTTGCATGAGGACCCGAGTACGTGTGTGTGTGACCTCGTAGTGTATAACAAAGTAAAGTAACACTACCTCAGGTAAAGTACCACGTAAAATAACACCACGTAAAGTACCACCACGTGAACTCACACCACCTAAAGTTTAAACACATTTTAACTCAATTTAAATCAGAACATATTGGCACTTACTTTTTTATCTATACAATGTATCCATATTAGCACGTTCCACCCAGAATTTAAAACATGTCAGTATGTCATTGCGAAATTAGAAATATGTCTAACTGAAAACGAAAGAAATAATAAATACAAATGCCTTTCAACTGTGAATACATATTCACCTCCTCTGTCACCAATTACGACTAAAGTTACTGAGCCAAGCATATCTTTCATATGTAACCCATGACAAGGTACACTACCCTTGATCATCGTTTTCATCTTCATCTTAAATAATTTTCGTTATCACTACTTCATCAGAATATTATTACTTTGTTTTGGTCTCCACCATCAATTCGAGATGAAGAAGGCTGTGGTATGTCCACGTGGGCACATTTTTCTGCCATTCAAAAATATGAAACCCTCAACCCCCAGGCCAGGCCAACCGGCCGCTGGATCTGCCTTAAGAACATGTTTGTACAGTACACACGCAAAACACTTCCAAGGGCGTATAAATAGCCGAGAGTCTGTTTACAAATAGTTAAGCATCCGTTGACATGTAGTTTTCACTGAAAACAAGAACCACCGGTAGTTTGCTATTCAATCAAGTACTAAGAAAATATACAGATGGTGAATAGAACACATACTTGGCCTGTTTCTGGGAGACA